TTTATTATCATCTAATATAGATTATATTGTCGATTGGGAACTTACTTGGTTTACTTTGAATTTCAAGCCCTCTTATAATGCATCTTTTACTTTTGAGCATGCTTCAAGACACTTAACCTTTAAATTCAAACTTTTCTTGGATGATTTACCCACATTAGAAAAGCTTAAGCGGACTCGACCAGACTTATACATGGACGAATTAACTTGCCGTTCTTGTGTCGACCGCATGGAAGACCTGATGCACCTTTTTATGTGCAAAAGACATCGTCTACCTATGCAACAAATTCTCCAATCTTATCAAAACCATTTGATTTCTAAAATTCAAGATGCTGGAAAATTGGCTGATATTGATCCTACTCCATTTATAGCTAAACTCACTTCTCTTTCATGTTGGTCCTTTTCTTCTACAAATTGGTCCTCTTACGCCCTTGTCCGTGGTTGTTTACCTAAACTCTTTATTGATTTATTTGTCAATTTATCCATTCCAAGAATCTCTGCGATTAAGGTTATCGCTGCTATTCATAACAATTTTGTTCAAAAGTTCAGAAAACAAATTTGGAATCCGCGTTCTTATGAGAAAAGTAGATGGGAAAACGCGATGAACATTACCCATAAGTTGAAAACTACTCCGAAGCCATCTAATTTGCCATTGTCAACGTACATACCTTACTCATTCTTACCACCTCCGACGCTACACAATTCACGTGACTCCAGAACCGATTGGTCGAAGAACTCGATGAAATATGGTTTGCCTTGGTTTAATCACTTTTCGGGTTTTATGGGTCGTCTAACGGTGCTACTTAATAACAGCTTTTGCAGGATGGAGTGTCGATTTTTATAGTGGGCGCGCTATTCGTTATTTTGTTAGCATAGTTGCTTCTACTTTGGTTGGAATATATCAAGGGGGAAGATCTGGGGAAATTTAGTGTAATGCGATTTTTCTTTTTTAGATTAATTTTTTACTTTATTTTTTCTTAGGAGACTATATAGCTTTGTTTTTAGTTAGTTTTATTTTTATATTTTTCCTTTTATTTTTTTGTAAATTGTAAAGTTCGAATAAATTTAATAAAGATAAAGGCTACTATGCCACATTTGCCTAGTTTTTGGCCAGTGATAGTATACAAGATCATTTAGTGTGATGCTATCTTAAACTAATCTTATTTTAGTAATCTAGTTAAATTAGTTATTTCATGGGCTTAATCTACTTGCTTTTCTGAAGTAAACTGACAAAAACTAATCGACATACTTAAAATGTTGTCAATCTTAATCTCTCACCCAAATGATGTTTCTTTACAATAATTATCTATTACGTGATTCTGTAAATTATTACGATTAATCCAGTGACACCCAAAAAAATTCTGCAATAGTAAATTTATTCATCACATGTGTCACATCCCTCTGTGTTTCCATTTTATATAAGTATCTGAGGGACTTAGTTTTTTTGATTTGTCAAAATCCTATTTGTCATGCCTTAGTCGTCACTATTTATTCACGTGTTACTGCATAGTACCAGCCCTGTGCAAAATTTTTTGGGCAGATTTTCAGGTGTCATAGGGTAGTTATTATTACATGACTACTGCACACATCAGCGATGTTTTAACATTTAGCGTTTTATTGATTAATAAAGTTAGTCTATATATATCAGGTTTTATTTTAATTTTAGTAAAGTAATAAAACAAAGTCAAAAGCAAAGAAATAACTTAATGCTCACATTAAATTGTCTAGGATCCGTGTACTTCCTCCTCTTTAATAGCATCATATATATTTCATTCGCTTCTTTAGCATTTTCTGATTCGTTATGTACTAAAAAATCATTAAAGTTTAGGAATTTGCACCAAAAAATGTCTTGGTAAAGTGATTGGTGTTATATGCAAATGATTTTATCTATCATTCCTGTTGTAACAGGTTAACTGGGGTTTAACTTAATAGAAGAGTCTTAAGTTAATCACAACTAATCACGTGAAATAACGTTGGATGTTCAGTTAAAAAAAATAGGTTTTTATTAAAATAATGTAAGATTTTGAATACGACAAAAATATAGATAATCTCTTGGTTGCAAAATTAACTATCTTGAATTATACTACTGGAAATAATACTCTTTCCTCGCTTAATATAATCAAAAAGGAGAATTTTAATTCTTTGACAAAGTCATCTCAAAATGATGCCAGTAAAAGTGCTGTTAGGCAAGGTAAATGGAAATCTTTCACCATAAGCTAAACAATACTTCATCGAAAGTAATCAGTAGACACAGCAGATCTACTGAAATTAACTTTAGATTTGTTAAAATAATAGTTGTAGTTATAGGTATTGTGTAGTCATAGTTCTAATGCCAAAGTGTAATTACTAGATCTGCAAAGGTGGTTTTCTGATTAGATGGCAGTTTCAATCTATATTACGAACAAAGTATTTTGATTTTTGATTTTAACACCTTAGCTTGTTATAAATTTGGGTAATATATAAACTGTAGCCACTCTTGTTTTGTTAATAAATAAATAAAGCA